GGCAACATTATTGTTTCAAAAACGTATAGCTGGCAACATTATTTTTCCGAAAACATTATCTGGGGCTTTGCTGTTGGATGTAGTTTATCGCCATACCAAGGACGCGGATGTAGTTTTCGTCATACTTAGGACGTAAGAATGGTAGAATAAGAAAAAAATATGTGGCAATGAACAGAGCGAGAAAAAAAGACAATTAAGCATATACATATGGACAGACAAAATATATAGGCCTACACAATATATATATATATATATGTGGCACCATGCATCCTGACGATTTGAAAGAAATATTCATAGATATATGATTTGTTTTTTACGGTTTATCAACCATTTAATAATTATTTAAGGCCGAAAAATATTTTAGGATTTAAGAATAATTCTTTCTTTACATTCAAGTGATTTGGGAGAAAGAAAGAGAAAACGAAGAAAAAAAAAGAAAGAAAAAATAATACGAAAACGGGTCATAGGCGAACACACACACAAACGGCTAGAATTGATAGGTAGCAGATGTCGAAAATATCTAGGTCACCTACGAACAAGCATTTGACCGATTTCCGCGTGTCCACGAAAAATGGAATTTTGTTATCAATTGGATGTCACCCAAGGAAAAGAAAGACCATTGTTGAACATTGACGAAACACAGACAGTCTTCAGAATTAGAAAAATCCCACCCAAGAAGTTTTCACTGGCAAAATTTTTCTTTCTTTTGACAGAATAAACGCTTGCCCTGCGATAATAAAGATTTTTGTTATCAAACCTTCGGCCGAAAGGAAAATGAAATATTTTTATTTCGCTTCAGAAACGCCAGCTAGCCTAGGAAATTCCTTTCTTGGGTCATGTCCAATTAGCGATAAACTGCTTGACAAATACCACGTGTTAAAAAGCCGAGAGTGTCATCTCAGTCGCTCATGATAAGGGCGATTTAATTAATATTTCTTTTGTTAGGCAAGGTATTTCTTTCCCTAAACAAAACCGCGGATTGTTCACGCCCGACTAAGACGTCATTGGCCAAGTAGATCACATGACCCACGAAGGAGGAGGAAAGATCACCCGACTAAGACGTCATTGGCCAAGTAGATCACATGACGCACGAAGGAGAAGGAAAGATACCCGACCAGGACCCTCATTGGCCGAGAGCGGTCACGTGACGCACGAAGAAAATCGGTCGACGCCTCTATCAGAAGTGTAAGTGGAGGAGCCGATACGAAGAAGTGGGAAGTTAGTGCACGCCCCTCAGAAGCACAGTAAGAGAGTGGGGTGAGAGGAAAGTTACCGAAAATGGAAAAGAGTAAAAAAATCCCTAACCAGAAATAAGAAGGGTGGAGACGTATTTAGAATTATCGAAGAACCCCTGGTGCCGACAGACCCACCCCAGTTTTGACGGCGTCAATAAAAGCGAGAACCCAACCGACAGAAATCAGTTCGTTCGACCCAAGCTGGAGAGAAGTTTGAGTTCAGCCGCGGACCCTGGCGAGAAGTTTTGAGCCTTGGACGACAAGAAGAGATGAGCGCCCAGTGTTGAAACCGCGTCAAGATAGCTGACCAAGATTCACGCACACTTTTGGACTCTTCTTCAACCAAGAACAAGTAGTTTGAAGAGCGACTTAGAATCAGACCACAGAAATAAGTTTTTCGACTTTCGTCCAAAGACACACCGAAACACAAATTTCTTAGAGAGCAGACAACTTGAAGCCTTAAAGTTTGCCTAGCGAAAGCGTCGTGCCACAATCCACAGAACGGGTCGGGAAGTAGACATAGTCCTATGTATCGAACAAATAGACATAAAAGTTTGTTACCTTTTTCTTTGATACTTTGGACTTTGTGAGTTTTCATTTTATTTTATTTTATCCATAATTGTGTGTTATCACCCCCGTTGAACTCAGCTTGCATTACGGCCCCAACCCCTGTTTGATCTCGTCTGTCTAAGATCAATTCACAACGTGGGTAGACAGACTGGGGATCAGTGCAGTTACCCTGGTAACCAGGCGTTGGAAGCAGGTTGGGAACGGCGAGGCTGGTATCAATCTAACCAGATTCCTACCCGAATCACCAAAGGGTTAGAACGTCACGTTTGGAGCAGCGAGGAGCGAACAGCTGACGCCGCGGCGAAGACGTCACAATTGGTGCTGTTTGGGGACGTCACATCTGACGCCGTGACCGCGACATCAGAGCCTGGGGCAGCCACGTGACGTCACATCTGGCGCCGTGGTGGATCAGGATAGAACGACACAGTCGGCGCTGCGACCGGGGAACGATGTCACATATATATATATATATATATATATATATATATATATATATATGTATACATGCCTGAGGAATATACGTATTTTGTGTACTAACATTAAGGTATTAATAATTATAACCAAGATTCGTAGTCAAGATTTTTGAATTTTCATATACTTGTATTTTGATTGGTCATTGCAGATTATGTAAAAGCGTTCCCTCTATTGAGGAGTGTTTGGTTGATTTGAATCTTTTAAAACTCTTTATACAACATTCAACATCGTCACTTGATATGTCAACAGGAGTGTTAAAAGAAAATGGTTATTTTTGTCGTGATGATGTAACATGTTTATGTTTAATTTTTGAATAAATAATTATATATATATATATATAATCAGAAATATACATAATATCTTACATTAATATACCTAACTGTATTTACCCATTCGGCCATATATATATATATATATATATATATACATATATATGAAGAAAATTATGTATCAAATGATTTGTGCGATCAGTGTACGGTATTATATAATTTTAATATATATGTGTGAGGGTGTGCTCAAATATTGCTGCTGTCTCATTAAGTAGTATATACATGCGCACACACTCACACACAAGCACACATACACACACACACATATATATATATATATATATATATATATATATATATATATATATATATATATATATATATATGCGTGTGTGAGCCTCTCTCTTTCTTTGTTCATATATTTTTTATCATCTATATATGTCAGTAGAATATACGTATTAATTGTTCTAAGGCAAAAATGTTAATGAAAAGTTCGTTTTTTTTGTTGTTGTTTTTGGTTTCAAGTGATCACGTGATACGACGCCGCGCGTTTGCATCCAACTTCGTTTCTCTCAAAGAAGCTGAAACGAGCGTCGACTTGTGCGGGATTCCCAAAACAAAAATGGTGCCTGCAACTCTGATTCTGAAGAAAGCGGACACACAGACACAAATTCCTGCTGCTCAAATAGCAGCATTTTCTTCGTCGGTATTCGTAAATGAAACATCATCCAGTTCGAAGGTGAATCCCATTGAACCAACATCAGTATTTAGATTATATTTGACGCATAAATATATCTCCACAACAAAATTCTCACCTGCCATGTCCCAACAGGTTGGAGACGGTCAATGCTCTCCACTGCATCTTTTCTTTTTTTTAATTGCTTTGACTGTTTTGGGTTTTTTTCTTAAGGGGGGGAAGATAATTGAATATATTTATATTGCTTCTCTATTTGTATTTGATCCGGAATTCCCTTTCGAGACGACTTAGTGAGCAAAAATGGTTTCATGCCTTTCCACAAGGAAAAGTGAAAAAAAACTGTTAAACTAAAAATTTGAAATGAGATCTTCATTTTTACGGAATGGTAAAAAAAAATTCTCAACACACAACCATAATGCTTCCCAACTACTTCCGGTAGGGAATGGAGACATGCTGCATGAGCACCTGGGGACACGCCCATCTGGTTTTGGGCAGTCAACTGACAAGCAAATGTGTGGTAGTCAAAGGGATAATTAATGCAGCCCATTCCAGTTCGACATAACAAAACACATTTTCATTAAATGTAGCAAAGCGATGGAAAATTGGTAGTTTGACATATTTTGCTAAAAGATAATTGCAGGCTGTGGAAACTTTTTCGTTTCCCAATCGAAATCTCGTAAGAAACCCAAATTCTATCTTTGAAAGTTTTCCTAACTAAACTCTGAAATGCATTATAAACGATATATTCTCGCATAGATGATAAGCAAATTCTAGACGCAGATTCCTGTCATTCAAAATTGTTATTGTCATGCTTCGTTGACACATAATTCGTAGTACTGAAATACGGAAATAGTTTCCGAAAAGCCTAATAAAATAGATGATAAACAAATTCTAGGCGCAGTTTCCCGTCATTCAAACTTATTTTTGTCATGGTTCGTTGACACATAATTCATAGTGCTGAAATACGTAAATACTTTCCGGGCAGCATTATAAAATAGATGACAATCAAATTTTAGACACACTATTCAACCATGCACCTGCTTTGTTTGGTTGAGTCATAATTCATAAATACGTAATTACTTTCCGAACACCCTAATATAGCATATGATAATTATAATGGTAATATATAGCCGTTTCCCTATAAGGAAACATTTGGCATCCATTGACCGTGCTGCCAGTACCGCTTTCGGTTGAAATTGATAAAATCATTCACTTAAAATCATTTTTCAGGAAAACACGTTTCTCAAATCTAGCAATTCGTGTTGCTCCTTCTGATATTGATCGGAGTTCCCTTACTAAACTATTGTTTAAAGTGTGTAATGTCAGCATCTTTGTCAATATTTTATCTTGGAGCCACATGTGCTATCGATTTTAATTGTTGCTGCTGTTGAAAGACCCCCAATGATGTGGTATCTTTTATTTGGTATAGTTATGGTGTGTGTGTGTGTGTGTGTGTGTGTGTGTGTGTGTGTGTGTGTGTGTGTGTGTGTGTGTGTTTACGGCTTATCAACCTTTTGCAGTTTATTCAAAGCAAGAATTTTTTTTAGATTGTAAGAATTTTGGGGAGGTAACAATGATTACTGATACAAGTTCTACTAATTAACCCATAGGTGGGGGGAAACTGACAGATTCATACATTTCCCAAAGATATTCGCGCGTAAATGAATGTAACGAGGGCAGGCAGCTAGAATTGAAACACAGATCTCCGATTTCCAATTCCAAGCTGTTATCCATCACATCAACCGTACACCCAAGCATACAATACCTCTCAATCCCAAGCGGTCACCAATCTAAATACTGATCAGGCTCGACGTTGCTTAACTTCGGTGAACGTACGAGAATAGGTGTTTTAAACGTGATGTAGTCGTAAGCCGTAATAATAATCAAGACATCGTGAATCTTGGAACATACAAGTTTTTTTTTTTGTTAAAAAAACATGGTGAGGTTTCTTAGAATGAATTTTAAATAATTTTGTTAAATAATTTCTTCATACCTTACCACAAGTTTTATTATACGGGAATAGACCCAGGCTAGAGTCTCTTACTGGTTAAAAAAAACCAGCTTGCGTGAGTAAATCATTTCTTTATCAAACTGAGCCTAATCTTTAAATAGAACCAACCCCCGCAGAAGTCAAAAAAAGATATTTCGCTATCTCACTCAGATCTGGCTATTAAAGCGATAGCAAACATGTGCCTGCCAATGTTCATATATTATTACGCCCATCCATCCTAATGTAAACAGTCCGTACCCACAGAGACACACACACACATATATCTATCTAAAGTAATAACTCGTACACCTTAAATTAAATTCAGTAAATATTTATTCGCTTAACTATGTATTCACGCTAACGTACATATATACAGTTGCTAATATCTAGTTATTTTATTTATCCACGCCAATATCTACCTATCTATCTATCGTCATCCACATACAAGCCTATTTCGCTGTATCACAGCTCATCAGTGTGGCTAGACATTCGATTACTTCAAGCTGGGATCGAAAGCCGACAGATTTGGCATCAGTCGGAGATCCTACCCTTAAGTCATCGGCGCACGGCAGAATAAGGGCCAGTTCTCGGAAGAGAACCCCCTCATCTCCTGCCTGGTTCTTGATCGTAGGCCAGACGAACGTTGTTTGACAAATAAGTGCAAATGACCCCAATAGTATTCCATGAATGACGCCTACGCATTTTTCGTAGGCTAGCACGTAACAGTTTTGTTTCGTGCGTGTCGGGGGCAACAATTCTTCACTTATCTGCTTGCCCCGTGACTAGGTGGACGTCACCAGAATATTTATTCGCTGTTTGCTGTTCGAAGAAGTAGATGTCACCAAAACCAAATTTCGCTGTTTGCTGCCCGAAGAAGTAGATGTCACCAAAACCAAATTTCGCTGTTTGCTGCCTGAAGAAGTAGATGTCACCAAAACCAAATATCGCTGTTTGCTGCCTGAAGAAGTAGATGTCACCAAAACCAAATTTCGGTGTTTGCTGCCCGAAGAAGTAGATGTCACCAAAACCAAATTTCGCTGTTTGCTGCCTGAAGAAGTAGATGTCACCAAAACCAAATTTCGCTGTTTACTGCTCGAAGAAGTAGATGTCACCAAAACCAAATTTCGCTGTTTGCTTCCCGAAGAAGTAGATGTCAACAAGACCAAATTTCGCTGTTTGCTGCCAGAAGAAGTAGATATCACCAAAACCAATTTCGCTGTTTGCTGCTCGAAGAAGTAGATGTCACCAAAACCAATTTCGCTGTTTGCTGCTCGAAGAAGTAGATATCACCTAAACCAAATTTCGCTGTTTGCTGCCCGAAGAAGTACATTTCAACAAGACCAAATTACGCTGTTTGCTGCTCGAAGAAGTAGATGTCACCAAAACTAAATTTCGCTGTTTGCTGCCCGAAGAAGTAGATGTCATCAAGACCAAATTTTGCTGTTTGCTGCCCGAAGAAGTAGATGTCACCAAAACCAAATTTCGCTGTTTGCTGCCTGAAGAAGTAGATGTTAGCAAAACCAAATATCGCTCTTTGCTGCCCGAAGAAGTAGATGTCACCAAAACCAAATTTCGCTGTTTGCTGCCCGAAGAAGTAGATGTCACCAAAACCAAATTTCGCTGTTTGCTGCCCGAAGAAGTAGATATCACCAAAACCAAATTTCGGTGTTTGCTGCCGGAAGAAGTAGATGTCACCAAAACCAAATTTCGCCGTTTGCTGCCCGAAGAAGTAGATGTCACCAAAACCAAATTTTGCTGTTTGCTGCCCGAAGAATTAAGAACACCATCACCCAACTCGGCTACCCTTTTATGATTCACATGTGTATAGTAGAAGATTGATAATCCATCGTTTTTATTTTCAAAATAAAAAAAACAATAAAAGAGAGTGTATGAACATCTTTTTTCTTTACACTTGTTGATGAGAATCCTGATCGACGTCGATCACCATCTACTGTGAGTGTTACATGTTTTTTTTTTATATATATCTTATTGTCAGCTTGCTCTATATTCCTCTGATATTCGTCGCAGTAATATTTGTCTAATTGATTACTCATCTCCCCATACATTCTGTTATTAAGTCTCGTTTTTCTTCTTATGTTTCTTTTGCACGTTTTATGCTTGTAAATAAACTATTTATACGACAAATCCTCGTATCGTCTCCTATTGTTTTGTGTCTACGCATTGTATATTTCCTGCTGTGTTCACCGGTGTCTGGAGTCAGAGAATTCCCCTCCCACTGTTCTTTTTTTTTATTATTTTTACATTAAACCCTGAGAACTCATATTTAATTTTTTTTTATTTTCTCGTTTCGTCCCGGCTATGGTAGTCCTAACGAAACCCCGGACGTAACAACTTTTATATTGTTCACATAACGAGCCCCTAAATACAGAATTGAGTATCTTGACTTCATAATCGCCTGAAAATTGTGAGACCGATATACGACACAAAGTGCGTCCACATTAAAATCTGTTTCCTGCTAAAGGCAATCTTCGAGCCATGTGTGTGCGTTGTGATTTTCGCTCGACTATTTATAAAAACACAACGCACATGGCATGACGATTGCTATTAGGATGAAACAGACTGACGCCTGTACATGCTGACTTCAATGCCCAATTATATATATATATATATATATATAAAATTTAACCCAAGAAAGGTAAAAAAAGGTACTAGGGGACAAGGGTTAATGTTATATTTAACAGCCCACCCCTACGATGTATGGATGTGGCACAAGGCCGAGTTTACCGTGAGTTCTTAGGCTCGGACAAAAATATTCCCTTAGAACACGCAGAAACGGGTTCAGGGCCTGTCTACCTCCCCGGACGAAACTTCGACAAAGCATCGTCCGGGTTCCTCTCTGCTCCAGGCAGAGATTACGAAAGATGAATAATCTGGTCGACTGGGTGTTAGAGAATATGAAGAAAAACTATTATTAAGGAAAAAGGACAAGAATGGAACAAGAATTAAAAATAATTAATATATTTCTAATGAATTAATGGATTTTTTATCCATAAATTCAAATGCCGGATTAATACATCCGGCATTTGAATTTAAATTATTTGTTATGTCTCCATGTGTATTTAAATGAGACATAATTGAGCTATGACCGGAGAGATGTATAAAAATAGGAGAGCCGCATTCGGATGCCAGTCGAGTTCATTAAAATCACTTACGGTTTAATAGTTTGAATATATATTTTCTCTCCTCCATTTCGGCTATGAGCAAATAGCGAAACAGAATGGTTTTCTCCCTCTTTCTATCTTTTTCTCTCTCTCTACATATATATATATATATATATATATATATATATATATATATATATATATATATATATATATATATATATATATATAAGTATATTTTTTCTAAAATGAACACAATACTGACATCTCATTTTAACAGATATATTTACCGATAATTCAAATATATATATTTATATATATATTTATATATAGAAGTATATTTTTTCTAAAATGAACACAATAGTGACATCTAATTTTAACAGATATATTTACCGATAATTCAAATATATATATATATATATATATATATATATATATATTTATATATAGAATATATTTTTCTAAAATGAACACAATACTGACATCTCATTTTAACAGATATATTTACCGATAATTAATATATATATATATATATATATATATATATATATATATATTTATATATAGAATATATTTTTCTAAAATGAACACAATACTGACATCTCATTTTAACAGATATATTTACCGATAAATTAAATATATATATATATATATATATATATATAGTAGTATATTTTTCTAAAATGAACACAATACTGATATCTCATTTTAACAGATATATTTACCGATAATTCAAATATATATATATATATATATATATATATATATATATATATATATATATTTATGCACGCACACTGAGCGTGCGATGGGTAAATTGTCGCCATTTTATATTTTTTATTTCGCACATGCGCATTGTTGGTCTTTGATTTTGTTGACTGCACTGCATTCTAGGGTAAGTTGGACATCGTCCTTGAGTTTAAGATCACCATGACGCAATTCTCTCCGCCAGATATTTGGGAACGGCATGCTCTACTACTTGGCACATGCGCCAGAAGCTTCAGTACGAACATTTCAGAGTGTTTGGATGTCAATCTGAGGAGAGCGCAGTGGATTCGGAAAGTGTTGGATGAGTCTAATGGTGATTATGAAGATACGACAGCATGCAAACTTGCTTTGATCGTTCTGATCAGAAATGAACAACCCAATTTGTTAGAGAGGGCCTCAGGTTCACCATGGTGTCCTACATTAAGTGCTCTGAGGAGGTAGTACTACCTTGGGTCAAGAGGGTGACCGCGAGAAAACCCTATATCTGGAAACAGGACTTTGCATCATGCTACACAAGCAGGAGAATACAGTCATGGCTCATAGACAATTTCTGCGACCACATCGCCCTTTACATCTTACCGCCTAACTCCTCAGTCTGCAAACCTTGATTATTATGTGTGGGGCACAGTTGAGGGGGAGATCAACAAAACTTAAATTTAAAAAACAAAACAAAATTTAAATTTAAAAATCTAAATTTAACATTTAAAATTATTACAACTTACAAATTTCAAATAGTATCTTTAAAATATAAAAAAACATATCGAAAAGGAAGAAATTAAAAAAAAATAATAAAATAATAATAATAAAACTACCAATGAGAAGAATAATACTATTGATGATAATAATAAACTAATCATAATACCAATGAGAGGAATAACGAGTAATAATGATGAAAAGGTAAGATTAGCTCCGTTATAAACCATTTAACCATATATATCACTGCATATATGTACATATAAACACACGCATATACAAATGCATATACATCCG